TATTAATTAAAAATTTATTTATTTATTAAAATTGTAAATGAAATTTTATATTACAATTAAGTTTTTCAGCATTTCATGATAATTTATTGCTATAATTCTCTTTTATAATTCATAAAAAATTCATTATAATAAATTAAGTATTTTTTCATATAATGAAAATCCTTAATTTATTAATTTAATCAAGATTATTTTAAATTTATACTAATTAATTCTATATAAAATTAGTATACTAAATTTTGTCAACTGTATGTAAAACAAAATATATTTTATTGTATTGTGTAACTAATTGCTAATCATACATTTTCAAAAAGTGCTTAAAATATTCTATTTTTATAGAAATACAGTATTTCTCAATACAGTGGTGCATCACACTTCAAATTTAATTTCAGGAGGCCATTCAAAGTCTGAATGAATTTTCCCCAATAGAAATAATAGAAAGTGAATTAATCTGTTCCTAGATCCTAAGCAATACCCATTTTCATAGATGTAAGCAGCAACTACACATAATTTAAGATAAAAATAGCATAGTTAAATGCCCTAAATAATAAATTAAACATGAAAACAATAAATAAAATAGGTAAATAATGTGTAATAAAATGAAAATTGCTAATCACTATGCAGCTGCTTGGCTTTCTCACAAGTAATCCTCTTGGAGATGATATCACCAACTAATTGCTTCTCATTTATCAATACTAAGAGTTTTTCCATTTCAATAACATGCAGTCTCTGGGAGAGGTTAAGGTCATCTTTAGCCACATTTGCTGCTTTTATTGTTTCTTTGTTCTTAAGAATTGTGCACACTGTTGACTTTGGCATCTTAAACATAGCCACCAGATCTAGTATGTATGTACTGCTTTTGTGGTAAATTCCTTTTTTATCTCAATTATCAATACAACTTTCTTTATCGGCTTCATTGCTTCTATACTATTCTTGGGTTAATAGGAAGAGTTATATATATATAACCAAATATGCAATTAAAATACATAAATATGAAAGAGATGACTTAGGTGCACAACAGATGGTGTTTATGCAGTGAACACATTTTTTCACAGTGTGTGTGCAGTTTGAATGTAAAAGAGTTTACACCCTAAAGATAAAATCCAAGTAAATTACTGTTCAAGCTTTGCTAGTTCTAATATTTAAGAGATTTATTAGAATAAATCTCTTAAATACTAGAACTAGCAAAGCTTGTGTAAACTCTTTTCAAAATGAAAACTTTAAACATTATACATTCTAAAATATGTGATGTTTAATTAATTAATTAATATTTTTATTTTTGGAAAGAATAGAAATGATCTTAGATCTTGAGATGAGATAACTCCAAGTCCTTTACAATGGTAGTCCAATTCCTTATTGTAGTCTTTACCATCCATCCAGCTGTTAATTTTTAATATTTGGAGGTTCACTCTAATAAAACATAGTTTGAGTTTTCAAGATTTTGTAATTAATGTTATTATTTATTTAATATTAGCAGTAGTGTTTTAATGTTTGTATTCAGTTGTAGTAATGTTTGCATCCTATGTATCTGATAAAAAAAAAAAAAAAAAAAGATATGCAAGATGTTATAATTCTAAATGATGACAGATTAAGATATTGAAATTATATAAATTAGTGCAATAATTTTAAATGTAATATTGTCATAAAGTTTGCAAATGAAATTTAAAATATTTGGCATACTAATTTCTTTATTTCATCTCTACCTTATTTTTGAAAGTGTTGACAACTTGTGATATTTCATTATGGAGTTTTATTCTAGCTCAAATTGAACTAATTTAGTAATTATTGTGTAATTTGAATATAAAGTTTAGAGATGGAAAGTTATTTTGATGTTGATCAGTGCCTTAATTTTATTTTGTTTAGAAAAAAGTCAACTAGTTGAAATGTCTTTTTGTATAATATATTTTTGTTAGTTTGTTAATTTAATTACTAATACTTTTGGGTTATTGAACTATATTTTCAATATTAGAAATTATTTAATGGGATTTTATGATGGAATAAATGTTATAAAATTGAATAAAAATGCTGTACATTATTTAAACTACTATTTGTATAATTTTATGTATTTAAAAAAATATATATTTTCTACAAGTATTTGAAAAAATTTAATGTAATACTGTAGTTAATTTGTAAAAATCATTTGCTCAAATACAAATTTTTTAAAATATAAAACAGTTATTTTTCTATACATAAAATGTTTAATTTTACATTTATGTATTAATTTAGACAATAAAATTTATATAAAATAGCAACTAAATAATATACACTGAAATATACAATTACAATTTATAATAATAATAATAAATAAAACAGAAAAATAAGCTTTGAATTGGAATATTTTACTGTAAATGATGCCTACTGAATATTATAAAAAGTAATTCTTTCTCAGTTTGAAATTATGAAAAAGTAATGAAACAAAATTGTCTTACTTCCATTGTGTATACAGATCAACCGCTGTGTTCCCAGCAGTCTTGTTTCAAAACTTAGATAGATTGATTAATGGTTTAAGAGGGCTTTTTTTCAGATCCATTGTTGGTTCAGCCAAGTATACGGTAGGAGCAACCAGGTGGTAAGGGATGTGGCCTGACATATCTGGGACAGACTGCCCATGAAAAAATTCGTGGAAAGTACCTTGTCCTGATTTGACCCTGAATGGCCAGACTTTATCTCAGGTTGTCTACATTACAAGCATCTGTGGACATTCAATGAACAACTCTGGTAGTTGTGGGAATTTTAAGTTTGTTTTAAAATTTAGTTCAAAGTGATCAGTAATGTGAAAGAGAAACTTTTTTCACTTTATGCCAATATTTAAAAACAGAAACATAGCTCTATTGTTTATTTAGAATATAAAAAAGATGCCAAAAATTTAAAAACAAAAAATATTTACCATAATGGAGTTTAAGAAACAAAATAATAAATAAGAACAAAAATTCTAATGCTTTCAGACATCCATCATCAGAACATTTAAAACATTCTATATTCTTGTCATTAAGTAATATGATTTAAATTATACAAATGTATATATTGGACTATGAAAATCAAAATGTATTTGACAATTGGACTATAATTTCTATATTATAGGTCCCTTTACCATGAAACAATTTCTTCTGTTGAAGGGAACCCATCAATATTCCATAATTTTGCTTATAAAACTTGTTGTTCCAACAAGAATAAGAACTGTATAAAATTATATATTTTGATCATTAAAAATATATAGCTCTTCAAACTAAAATTTATATTTTGTTGTATTAAATATTACTATAATCTATATAGAGAGAGGATATAAAGTTTACATAAACATAAACTGTTAAAATGTCATCATCTGGTGGAGTTATCTTGATTAATTCCTTTAGAATATTATGGAGCTGGTAACAATACAGAAAGATTTAAAACATAATGTGTTCTTGTTTCAAGGTCTTCAATTATTTAATAGATTAACTCATTATTTTAAGTTTCTGGGACAATCATCCTGAAGTTCCAACCTGTGATCTGTCCTAATGATATTAATTTAAAGGTTAAATAATTATTAATTAATAGGCCAGTCTACGAGAAGTTAGGGGTCACAAGTCTGAAAATTATATCTGTCCTGTCTGTACAATGTTCAACAAAGAAACTAAATTAACATATTCTTGTCCCAAGGTCTTCTTCAACTATAATACATCTTTTTCCACAGGAACAAGAATAATGTGTGCAAATGTTTTTTTAGAACAGATTAAGTGGATATCTATTTTCATGATTTTTAGCCATTTCAAATAGTTTAAGCGTGACTCTTCTACATAGTAAAGCATTTTTTACAGTGGTGGATTTAAAAAAAAATTTCATTAGATTCCATCAGCAGACTGTTATAGCAAATATATTTGGATTGTGAAAATTATACCATACTTGTGATTTTTACTTCAAAGTTTCACAATTAATATTGTAAAGTCTTACAAGCCATTATTATTGCATTGAGAGAAGTCTCATTTTAATAAAACACTTACTCTCTCAAATTCTATAACAAAATATTTAGATGGGAAAAAATTCAAAGATAAGATTCAAATAGTTTCAAGTTACTTCAATTATCATCAGGAGCCATAAAGAAGATACATAGACAGTATCCTGGTTATATGGAAAGGAAATAAATTCACATCTTAGAAATCAACTCCAGCAAAAAGTTTAATCACATCTGGTTATTGGTCAGAACTTCTCAAACCACCCACCAACTTTGAAAGACATTCTCCTTCTATTTTTCAAAAGCCCTACTTTTTAAGTTACCATAATACAATGTAGCTAAAGACAATCAGCAACATAAAATGGAGAAAGAATCATCTCTTTTCTATATTATATTATGCCTAGTCTAATAATTTCTTACCATTTCATAAGAGTTTGTGAATTTGTTTTAATGGCAATAGAATTTTTTTTACTCAATATAGTTTATGTAAGCAAAGGAGCTTGAATGTACTTGAATCTTTTTTTTTTCTTTTTTTGTTTGTAAATTTTCTCCATTAAAGCATTTTGATAAACAATACCATATAATAAACCTTAGGCTTAAGATATTGATAATCCCGGAAAATTTTTCACATATGTAGGCATTAATAAACATAGCAC